TCATTTAGGGCCAGTTTACACATGAGTGCTTTTTTTTTGTTTTTTTTTTTTTTTGGTTTCTTTCTCATTTGAAAGAAATGAGGGAAAGGCTGGGCATGGTGGGTCATGCCTGGAATCCCAGCTTTGCAGGAGGTGGAGGTAGGAGGATCGAAGTCCGAGGTTGGCCGTAGGCAAAAACAGGAGATCCTATCTGAAAAACAAACTAAAGCAAAAAGGGCTGGAGGTATGTGACTCAAGTGGTCAAGTGGTTGCCTAGCAAGTGCAAGACTCTGAGTTCAAATCCCAGTAATGCCACAAAAGAAATTTAAAAAAGAAGAAAAAGAGGAAGAAATGAGGGAAGATGTGAGCACATGTTTAGAATACTTTTTTGGTTATTTTAGGATGTTTTGTATATTATAATGAATGTGTATTATATAATGAGCTACGCATTTGTATACCCATACATATAATCAGTATATAATAGAATAATAAATATGATAAGATACTTTAGTATGTTTCACCATCAAACCCTAATGTTAGTCGAATTTAGTATCCTAAATCTAAGTGTGAAATGTAATACCAGGTAAGATTCCAGACAATGTTTCCAGATAAAAGTGAGAAATACCAATGTTTAAGTAAACATTAAAGAATACCAGATTCCTGGCACAGCTTGTATAAATGGAAATACGTATAAGAGAAAGCAAATTCGGGATGGTTTCCTTTAATGCTGGTTTTTGGTTACCTGAAAAACATTAAGATACTCAGAATGACAGACATGTTATGAGCCCCTCTTCCCGCAAATCTGTAGAAAGTTGTAACTCTAGAAAGTGAAGTTTCTTTTTTTTCCTTAATGACAGTGTGTATAGGACTATACACATTGTTTTATGCATGTAGGCTAGGCATCTTTTATAGAAGTAACCTTTAGGAACAAGGCAGTTTTTCTCTAATTTTGGAAATTGATTGAACTGATTCAGAAGGAAACTTAGAACTAAAGCAGCATCTAAGTTCTTAGCATTGGCCTAGTTAGGATTTTTATTTTGCGGTACTGGGGGGCTTGAACTCAGGGCCTTCACCTTGAGCCACTCCACCAGCCCTATTTTTGTGAAGGGTTTTTTGAGCTAGGATCTCGTGAACTATTTGCCAGGGCTGGCTTTGAACCATGATCCTTGTAATCTCTGCCTCCTGAATAGTTAGGATTGTAGGCATGAGCCGCTAGTGCCCAGCAGGATTTGGGTTCTTAAGCTTTTTTAGTCCCTGTTTGCTTATTCCTCAGTTAGAATCTGGTCAAGCTACTACTATGCATGGTTCTGCTGCTTGTTTTTTTTTCTGCTGGTGTTGGGAATTGAACTCATGGCCTTGGACGTGTTGTCTAAGCACTTTACCACTGATCTATATACCTAGCCCATGATTTCATTTTTTAAACACTAAAGTGCTCAGTCTTTTGAATTGAAAGCCTGTGATTTTTGACTTTTTTTTGTTTGCAGATTATCACTTTTTATCATAATGTACTACCATTCAAACAATTAGTACTTAAACTTGGGCATTTGTTATCCAGAATAGTCTTAGGTCTGTGTATACTGATATATTAAAATAGCTTTACATCTATTGTATTTATTGTATTTTATTCAACTCAAACTTTTGTGTGTGTGTGTGTTTTTCCCCGTATAATCTGTAACTTAATTGGAATAGTTCCATAGGATACAATACTGACCTAAGAAATTATTCGGCCTACTTGAGATTGGCATAATTAAGTGGTGGTTTCCTCATGAATTATTTATATCTTTTGTAAAATATGTGGAACATACAAATATTTCCTTAGTACTTATGGATATCTTTTTCTTTTAAAAATATTTGAAATGTGGCTGGATAAAAGCTTATTAATACAAGTTGAGTAACCATAAATGTAAACCTGTCCTGTCAGATGTTATTTATCTAGAATTAATTTCTACTTTTTCCCCCCCCTTTTTTGCCAACGTAAAGTGGCTAAAAGCCAAGGTAAGAGACACTACTTATCATTTGATCCACAGTATTTCCTCTATGTTGATAGAGGCTGCAGAGCCACTAAAATTTGAAAACTCTTCTTATGTCTGTCTGCTTTTTCCTGTAGGATTTATATAGATTAAATGTACTCAAACTCAGTTCAAATCAGCAACATTTAGCTTGGCTGTGTTAATATATCAAAGATATATTGACATTTGCATTGATATAGGAACATTAATTTTGCTAACATTTATTGCTTTGCTCAGTTTTTGATAGTTGCCTTGCTTTCATTGACTTGCGATTTGGAGGTTTCCCAGACATCATATGTGACTTTGTTACTTAATTGTTAGAAAAATGATGATTTTTCAGATGAGTATTTTAGCAAATTGACAGTGAGATCTGTAAATTGTTTTTGCATATATTTCAAGTATTTTAGGAAAGCCAATATTTGAGTACAGATGATTTGATCTCAGTGAATATGTCCAGCAGTGATGTAAATATATAAAATTTAATAGTCTAACCCATGTTTTCCCAAAAACTGACATGAGTGACAAAAAAAGATAGGAAAACTTGAGTGTAGGTGGTTCCTTGACTTTTTTGAAATATAGTACCAAAGTCTTTATTAAAACTGTCTGGGAATCCTGATTTCACATTCTGTTATTAAAAAAAATAATACATGGTGTTAAAACACCAAGAGAACAATTTGATATAAAAATAAAAGCTTTTCTTTCCACATTTTAGCATGGAAATAACCAGCCTGCAAGAACTGGCACACTGTCGAGAACAAATCCTCCTACTCAGAAACCACCAAGTCCTCCTATGTCAGGCCGGGGAACATTGGGGTAAGAATTCAATGCATTTTACAAAGAATTCCTGTGCTAAAGGAAAATAAATGTTTTTGCAACTTAGGTAAATGGATTCTTGTCTTGGGGCCCTCGCTATGTGGTAGTACCTTTTTCAAGTTGATTTTAATTCTTTTTCCCTGAACAGAATCCAAAATGAATCTGCCTGCTTGATAGTAGTCCTTGCAGAAGACTGTACAAGAAAAGTTATTTTATGTGTATAGAAATGAACATCATTTACTTTTTTGTCATCTTTTAAAAAAGGAAATGTAAATCTGACTTCAGTGTATTTCAAATGGAAAGACCAGGAGGTTCCATATGCTACCTTCACATGTAGTTACAGTATTTAGATTACAGAACTTTAAATAAGTGGTCTGGTCTGGTAGTTTGGCTTAGTACTTTGCACCTCTTCTGTTTCCTCTGTTACATGGCACCTAAGACTTAGGAATTTTTTACCTGGAGTACTTCTAAGTACTTCTAGCTGTTAATCTTAGGCTCCTTCATATTAGAGTAGCTTTATGAGTAGGGCAGTTATAAAACTAGAAAAGCGGTCAGGGCATGGTGCTTCATACCTGTAATCCAGCTACTCTGGAGGTGGAGATAGATGATTACAGTTTTGGGCAAAGTTAGTTTGAGTTCCTATCTGCAAAACAAACTGGGGTGAATTTGATTAAAGTACATTATATGTATGAATGTAAATATTACAATGAAACCCCTTTGTACAATTTATGGCAGTATTAAAAAAAAGATAAAAACAATAAAAGTGAACAAAGTAAAACACACACAGTCTCTCTCTCTCTCTTTCTCTCTCTCTCCTCCTCTCCCTCTCCTCCTCTCCCTCTCTCTTAAGCCAGGTGCTGGTGACTCACACCTGTAATCCTACCTGTTTGGGAGGCTGAGATTGGGAGGATTGTGGTTCCAGGTCAATCCCTGGCATCTCAGTGGGAAAAGCTGAGTGTGGTGGTACGCACGTGTCATCCTGACAATGCCTGGAGTATAAAATAGGAGGATCTTGGTCCAGGCTGACTTGGGTAGAAAGTGAGACCCTGTCAAATAACCAGAGCAAGAATGGGCAGAGGCATAGCTCAAGTGGTAGAGCACCTGCCTAGTTCAAACCCTAATACTGCCAAAACAACAACAACAAAACGCAAAAACAAAACTCTAAAAGAACCAGAGTGTGTTTAAGTGGTAGAGTACTTATGCAAGGCCCTGAATTCAGTCTCTAGTACCACCAAAGAAAGGAAAGTAGAAAAGGTAATGATGGATTTTTCCTTCCTAAGTCAGGGTACTAAATATATTGAATATCTGTTAAGACATTTCTGAAAGATTATTCATCTTAACACAGAAAATAATGTGTTGGTTTTGGTAGAGGACTTGATCAATAGTCAACTTTTTAAAGAGAATCTTAGTTTCCATTTAATTCTTTCAACCCTCTGCCCTGCAGGGAAGGGAAAGTACAATGTTATTAAATAGAAAAATAAGGAAATTTATCAAAAAGTTAATGACATTACATGAATTAAGATCAGAATGTACTTTATATATTTCCATATTTAGGTAGAAATAAATTGTAAAGGAAATATTTCACTTCCTATATAAAGGACAGTGGCTTAGTATGACTATGCTAGAATAATGTACATTTCAAAGTTTTACATTATGGAACATTAAAAAGTTATGACCATTACTTTTAGGAATAAGGTTAGAAATTTAATCTTTCCTATAATTTTCCTAAGAAAAGATAATGAATTTTACTTTTTAATGTTAAAGTAGCAGAATTCATGTACTGCAACTCAAAATTTTACAGACTTTATTTAAATAAAATTCCCTTACATTTAGTTACAAGGGATGATCAACGATTTGGGGGGAAATAATATTTCATCTTTTTTTATTCATTATTCCTTTCTCTATTATTCTTCTTTAGACGGAATACTCCTTATAAAACCCTGGAACCTGTTAAACCCCCAACAGTTCCTAATGACTACATGACTAGTCCTGCAAGACTTGGAAGTCAGCATAGTCCAGGAAGGACAGCTTCTTTAAATCAAAGACCAAGGACACACAGGTAAACCTTTAGGTTGAGCATTTGAATATTTAAGAGTGGGCATTTTGACTGGTAACCAGCTCCTCTAAAAAGCTCTTGGTAAAAGTGAAGTATTACTTTAATGCTAATACTGAAAGTAAATGTTGAGGGTGATAATATTACACATGTTCTTACAAATTTGCATTGTATTTCTTACTTTTTTAGAGCATTTATTTGGATTAAAAGTAAAGAATTTTTTAAACTAGTATTTAAAAAGCACAAGGCAGGACTGGGAGGGAAAGGGAGTTACAGCTTAGTGGTAGAATATGTGCTTAACATACACAAAGCTCTAGGTCAACCTTCAGCACTCCACCCCACCTCCAGAAAGAAAGCACTGGGCACCTACTCTTAAGTAGTTTTGGACAAAAGGTTAAATGCAATAGAAGTTATGTAGGATGATTTAAACTGTAAAAGGTTAGTGAGCAGAAGATTTAGCTTATTTCTGAGGACGAATTCGAGAGTTGTTACACTAGAGTATGTTATTGTATGTATTGTATGTATGTATTTATAAATCCAGTGGATTTATAAAACCTTAGTTATGGACTGGAGGTGTGGTTCAAGTATTAGAGTACTTAGCCTTTGCAAGCTTGAGGTCCTGTTCATACTCCAGTCCCACTAAAAAAAGAAAGATTAAAAAAAACAGCTTAGTTATGGAGCATAATATACATTCAAAAAAGTATACACTTAATTAATCCAGCTTGATTTATTAATTCAAATTGAATTCGTATGTAACCATGTTCTTTCCCAATTATTGCCTCTATCTTGTTGCCTGTAAAAGTAGACACTTTAATTTTTGAATACTTGTATGAAGTCAGAGAAATTTATAACTGAAGAGATAATTTTATCTCTCACTTAATAACTTGGGCAAGGAACCTCTCTTTGCCTTGAGCTAATTTAGCAAAATTATTTTGGAGTATTCAAATAAATAGGGCATATCAAGCTGTTAGATGGTAGGTAATTGCTATTTGTTGTTATTACTACTGTTCTAAATACATTGCTGTGTTGATATGTGCAGATCAGGTCAAGTTCAGTGAGCACCCAGATTGTTCTCTTGTTATGTTTGTAGTTACTGAATTACTGGTTGAAAGTATGGGTTTCACTCAGTCTCTTTCTTTTGGTGGGACTGGGGTGTTCTCGTTCTCTCTCTCTCTCTCTCTCTCTCTATCTATCTCTCTCTCTCTCTCTCTCTCCCTCTCCCTCCTTTCTTTTTTCAGATAGGGTCTCACATTTTTTGCCAAGGACCAGCTTTGAAGTTTGATCCTCCTGCCTCACCTTCCAACCAGTTGGATTACAGGCATGTGACATCATGCCTGGCTTATTTGACGAGATGGTATCTTGCTAACTTTTTGCCTGGGCTGGCCTCAAACAGTGATCCTCCCAATCTCCATCTCCCTAGTACCTGGGATCATTAGTTATTACAGTTTTCTTTGATAAATTTGTAGGATTGCTTCCTTCACACTCATTTCTCTTCTTTGTAGTGGAAGTAGTGGAGGAAGTGGAAGTCGAGAAAACAGTGGAAGCAGTAGTATTGGCATTCCCATTGCCGTGCCTACACCTTCACCACCTACTATTGGACCAGGTATGTTATTTATTACTAGATTGATTAGCTTTATTGTGAAAGCTAAAATAATTTAGTCTTGTTGGATAAAAGTATTAATTTGTGATTATGACTAGAACAAGATTAATAATAAATATATCAGTATTTTTAGGTTTATTTTCATAAAGTTACTAGGATTTTACCAGTCTTTCTCCTTACATGTAGTGCATATTAAATAACTTTGTTAAAAATCTTTGACCATTTTGCTTTATACTTGTCTTCATCAGTAGTCAAGAATGATGTTTATTCTTTCAAGAGAAAATCAGTATCGTATGATATTTCAGCCAAAGGATTGGTGTCGATAAGGCAAATTATGTTTCAGAGAGGTGTGTTTTGTTTTTTTGGGGAAGTACTCAGAGTTTAATAAAAGACCTTATTCTTGCCTCTTGCTAGGCAGGTGCTCCGCCACTTGAGCCACTCCACCAGACCTTTTTGTGTTGGTTATTTTATTTTTTGAGATGGGGTCTCTTTATGCCAGAGTTGGCCTGAACTGCAGTCTCCATGTTTGTGCTTCCCTGTTAAGCTGAGATGACAGATGCATGCCACTATACTCAGCCATTGGTTGAGATGAGGTCTTGCAAACTTTTTGTTGTTCTTGAACTGTGATTCTCTTGATCCTGGCCTCCCAAGTAGCTGGGATTATAAGAGTGAGCCACTGCACTGGCTAGACTTTACTACATTTATGTATGAGATTCAGTGCAAATTTTAGTGAAATGCAATAACTGTAAAATGACATTAAAGTAAGAGAAGTTCTTTTACCCTTTTAGAAAGTATACAAATTTAAGATATCCTTGGAGAATATTAATTCACCCCTTCATTTTTAGTAAATTAAATGGAGACTTTTTTTTTGAGATAGGGGTTTTTTTTGTAGCCCAGGCTGACTTGGAAGGAAGAATTTATTTTATATAATGTTAACAGTATACATTTTAAGTCAGGTGCTGGTGGCTCACAACTGTAAGTCTAGCTACTCAGGAGGCAGAGATTGGGAGGATAGAAGTTCGAAACTAACCTGGGGAAATAGTTTGTAAGGTGAGACCCTATTTGAGAAATACCTCATACAAAAATGGGCTGGAGAGTGACTGAAGTGATAGAGCGCCTGACTAACAAGCATGAGACCCTGAGTTCAAAACCCAGTAACATGAAAGAAAAAAAAAAATACATTCTAAAAGTGATTATAATAAAGAATACTAGGGAAAATACATTCTAAAAGTGATTATAATAAAGAATACTAGGGAAAAAATTCTTAGCTTCTCAAGCATATTGTCCTAGGAGAAAAGGCTAATTATAAAAACAGGTACATTTCATAGTTAATGTAGTTACAAACTTAATTTTGCCTAGTAAAGTTTTTATTCATTTGAACATGTGTTACATATGGGTGTTTCTTTTTCTTCTTTCCAATGCATTGTATTTTCCTGCTGTTTCAGAATGTTTAGTTCTCTTTTCTTGTACTCTGACCTGAATTATAAACTATTTTGTTAGAAAACATTTCTGTCCCTCCTCCTTCTGGAGCTCCACCAGCACCACCTCTGTCACCACTTCTCCCAGTGAACACTGTGATAGGTGAGATTGCATAACAATTGGAGCCATTGACCTTACTTTGCATAATTCATAATAAACTCCTGTAGCTAATAAACTGTGAGTTTTTAATAGTTGTTAGGTTATAGATTGTAATACAAAAGTTAAAGTACTAAATCTAATTTACACTAATTTTTTCTGGTGAAAGACCTCTGAACTTACACAGTAACCAAGTCTAGAATAACCTTTTCTGTAATATGAAGTATTTCTATGTGTGGTTTATAACCAACTTAATGTGGTTTTGTTTGCTGTTTGTTTAGATTTTTCTAGAATTATAGCAGTGGTTGTTCAAAAAAACAAAAAAGCAGTCCCCTCTCCCTACAGTGAAAATTGATTAGAACTCCCTGGTATATACAACAGTCACAGGACTGTGGTGTGACGGGAGGAGAAAAAGGGAAAGGAAAATGATAACTTATGTGGGGTCCTTTGATGCTGCACTGTGGATTATCATTTGAAAAACTCCTATATAGCCCAGAT